CGCGGGGTGGGCAGGGGCAGGAGCAGTGTGACCCACAGGAAGGGAGCCCTCCCGGAGAGGGCTGCAAGGAGCAACAGCAAAGTCAGCTCAGACGTTTATATGCTAATAACGGGCAGAAAATGATAGATTTTATGTTAGGTAAAACAGCTTTATTCAAGCAAAAGTAAGATACTGCTAATTATAAAGTCAATAAAACTAACGGTGGTGTCGATTGATCCCCGAATAAAGAAGTTAATTAATATGTGCACGAGCAGCTAATATTGCAGCCTGGTCATTGTGGCCCCGCAGTTCACATCCACTGCACAGCCTCGAATATTCTCCAGATAAACTTGTCACGTCTTACCTCCTCTGTTTAAAATACAACTAGTTTAAATATAGTTACCTAACAGTCTTGTGCAGATTATTGATGTATGTAACATAAACTGTGACGGATGCATACAATGTAAATTTCAAATCTATACGATATGATTAGATATCGGCATGTCTGTTGTGTGATTGTAATAGAAAAAATGAAAAATGTACTTTCATCGTAACAGGGAAAGATGATTGGATGGTGTAAGAGAACTGTGTATTTTTTAGCGCAACTGTGATTAAAATAAAATAGTCTTAATGGGATATTTTTGGACAGGAATACTTACATTCCTGGTTTCCTTGGACTGGAATACCTACTAAGTCTATAGGCCGACAGAAGTTGGCCAGAACTCTTCTGTTTCAATTTTATTTCTTAGAGTGTCTGAACCTATGTAAAAACCCATAAGTTTCATGAAATTTAATTATGGCTATTTCATGAGCCAGCCAGTGCACATACAATATATGCTTTCTGTAGATAAAATTTTAGCATGGGATTTACATGGAGATGTGCTGGCCAGAGAAGGGGATTTAGAGAAAAGATCAAATAAATCATGTAGGAAGGAGTAAACACCTGTTTCTGTCCTCGTAGAGCCGATTGCATGTTCACAGCAGGAACTTATGCAGATTCTTGTTCAGTGAAGTAGCAGTTTCCACATTTTGTTTGCTCTCTACAACACCACGATGTTAGGTGAGCAGCGAAATGCTATGGCAGCCAGATGTCTTACAGAAAACTCCAAACACCACCACGCTAACTCCCACCATAGATTTTGGTTCTCCATACAAGAACACTTAAAAGGAGAAAGAAAGAAAACACTGGTTTTGTCCAGTGCATAAAAGGGCATGAAAATGTGCTAAATACTGTGTATAAAATTGGTATGTCTCATACTGTTCATTAGCAGCTCAGCTTTATTCCAGGCGAAGCTTTTAACCACTGCACTTAAACTTGCCTTTCAGAAAAGCAGCATCAGAAGAGCGCTTGAGCCTCTGTGGTATCCAGCTGATGGTTCTGCGCAACAGCAGTGTGCCCTTACGGGTACGGCAGTCCTAAGAGTGAGCTGCGGCTGAATACTCAAGGAATAAATAATGTGTTTTGTGTAACAGTACACACTGTACTAACTCCTGCCCAGTAAATATTGATACTTGTCCAATTTTGTGGCTGTTCCCTTGAATTTTCAGTTTCTCACAGTTTCTGAGCCTGTTCATCCTTACTATGAAGTACCAGCAGGTGAACTTTAGACCTTAAAGGTCGTCTACTACATATATTTAAAAAATAAAAGAAGCAGGTCTGTATCACTTTTGCATTTTTGAGATGGGCAACAAAGTTCTGAAAGGAACTGGAGAAATTGTGCTCATTTTTAACCTTTCCTATATTTAAGCTGCAACTGCCCCTGGTTTTGATGGAGGATCTAATAAGTGTTCTCAGAAATGTGAGTTGTCACTACTCACGCTTTACATGAGTGGCCAGTCTTCTCTCCAGATGTTCTGTAGGCAATTAAGTTAGTGTGAATGAAGAAAATTCTCAGAGTTTTCTACACCATGAATCTTGCTAGTCTGGTTGCAGAGTGTTTAGGGGTTTGGCTTCTAGGATGCAGTTATACTGTTTTGCCAGTCATTACTCATTTTACTGACCGGGCAAAAGCTAAATTTCTAATGGAAAAACCAGCAGAGCCCTCAATGCCCATCATCTTTCTTGGCGGCGTGATAACAGCGTGCCTTCTTTTGACAGAGTAACAAGCAACACAAACACCAACCCCTCCCCAGTTGGAGGCTGATTTTTGTTTTCACTTGGCAGGTGCCTGTAAAGGCCTCCCAAACGGGGTTTCACCCGTCTGCAGGCAGCCTGCGTGCTAGGAGGGAGGCAACGGCTGCGAGTGCAGGGCGCTCCTGCCTGCAGTGTTTGTAGGGATCTCCTGTATCATTATGTGTAATGTCACCCATGCTTTGCAC